AAATAAAGATATAGCTATTAGCTATAATGGCTATAAATCTTATTTTCTTAATAATATACTTAAATTTCTTATTTTAGATATAAACTAATTACTTAAGACTATATAATTCTTTTTAAAAAAGTAATATCTTACTTTTAATATTAATTACTAATAAATAGCCTAATAATAAAATTATATAGATTTTCTTATAAAGGTCGCTATTAAGATAAGTATTATTAATATTTATTTATTTTATTAGAAGATTTATTATTACTATATATAATAGAAATAAGCGTAAAAAGTTAAATTATAGAATAGAAGTAAAGGTCTTATAAAAGTCGATATTTTCTATTTATATGAATTCTCTAGCAACGAGTCTAGTTTTAAATTTATTAATAATTTTATCGCTATTATATTTAATCTTGAAAATCTATTTATATATAACTAGGCGTCTACTAGTCGATAGAATAGCGAGCTTTTAAATTTCTTTAATAATTAAGGCGATAATTTTCTTAATAATAACTTACTTCTATTTATAGACATTTAATTTATAAATAGCTTTTTAATAGATAAGAGATTCGATTATAATATTTATAAGCTTAGTCTTATTCTTTATACTAAAATTATTATAGAACTTATAGAGATTATAGTCTAATTTCTTAATGCGAGACTATCGTATAGAGATAACAATCTAATATATAAGACGTCGCTTAATATAATTAAGAGAGTTAGGAGTAGATATAGATATAATAAATTATTAAATATTAATCTTAAATATCGTCTTTTAATTTATTATTTCCTTATTATTTAAAATATTAAGAGTCTCTTTAACTTCGCGAAGGCTTAATAGAGATTTCGATTTAATTTAATATATATTTAAACCACTTAATCTCGAATCTTTATTATTATTTATATTCTCTAGAAAATTAATAGAAACTTCTCTCTCTACTTAAGAATTTTATATATCTTTAATTTCTTCGATTTATAATAACGATATAATATTCGATATAGACCTCTTATAATTTTTCTTATTATCGTTATCGCTAGATATAATCTTAATACTACTTTAAATAAAAGCGTTATTAAGATCGTTATTATTCTAGCGAGTAAGAGCGATATCTACTTATATGAAGTTATAGGCTATTAAGAACGAAGTTAAAGTTATTAATTAAACTTTTTTACAATTCTCATAAAAATAAATATTCGTAGACTATTCGAATTAATTATTTTGAGAGTTATAAATTCGATACTAAGTGAATAAATAATAATTAATATATATACTCTAATAGATTATAATATATAGCTTATTTTCTTATTTCTCTTTTAGTAAATAAATTAAGCATAGATAATTAAAGACTTTTTTATAACTTAGATCTAATTTCTTATTAAATTATAATTTATAGAGTAATTTACTCCCTCTACTATTATATAATAATCTATTTTTTAAATAGTTTATATAGATTACGATCTCTAATTAGAAGCTTATAAATAAATCTAACTAGCTAAGTATAAGTCTTATAAATTTAATTAATATTCTATTAAATCGTTCTATAATATTATTCTAATATAGAATATAAATAGTTGTGAATTTTATAATAATATCTCGTTTTTTAAGTATATCCTTAATTGATTTATACTTCTCTATATTATCGATTCTAATTAATATTACTTCTCTTATTTTAATTATTTTATTAATTATAATTATATTTCTAAGAATAAAGATATAAATCTATTTTTTTAATATAATAGACTTGAGATTTAATTAATTAGTAACTTTATCGATAAAAAATATAAATTACTTACTACTCTTAATAATACTAGCTATAAAATATAATTCTTAGAAGTTAATATATATTTAAGCTTCTAATACTATTTTCTTTAATTTAAAATCCTTATTAATCTATTAAACTATTTTCGTAGAGTTATATATATTATATTAAAATCCTTTTAATAATTTTATTTTCTCTATATCTCTTATATAAAGATATAGATTCTTTAAATAATACGCTTCGATATAACTTAATCGTTAATATATTAATTAAAAATAATTAATTTATTCTTATTTTGTAGATATAGATATACTTTTAATAAGAGATTTAGATTCTTTAAAAGCGAATACTCTATTAGATATTAATTTAATTAATTAATATAGATTATTTCTTATATAGCCTCTTACTATTATCTTATCTATAGATATATTAATAATTCTAATATATAAACTTTCGAATTATATTTTAAAATTCTTTCGATTTAATACTATAATAGATAGTAGATTATTATTTATTTCTAGAATATATAGAATATCCTCTATAATCTATATATAATTGCCTATATAAATTCGAATAATTCCTCTATCTCTCACCATTAACTTACTTTAATTATCGAATTTCATTTTCTTTTAATAAGGCTATAAATTAATAAATAGTTTCTTATTTAATATTATATAATAAGTCGCTTCGAAATTTATTAGCCAGCTACTATCTTCTAAAAAGTCTATTATTATAAAGAAATTCTTTATTAATAGTATATTATCTATAGACTCTAGCTTTTCTCTAATTATCTATAAATCTTTCTTTTAATTATATATATCGCTTATATTATTAATATTATTATTATTATCTAATTTATTCGCTACTATAATAATATAATTTAAGTATTTTTACTTATTATCTTTAAATATTTTTAAACTCTTTAATTAATTCTTTAATTTATAATTTTATTTATCTAAATCCTTCGTCTTATAATTCTTATCCTTTTTATTCTTTTTATTTAAATACTCTCTCTTATAATACTTAATTTTCTTATAATTATAATATTCTATCTTACTTATATCTCTAAGAGATTTTTAATCTAGCTAGCTCTTTTATTTATTATATATAAATAAGCTTTTATTCTTAATCTATCTATCTTACTTTATAATTTATAAATATTTTATAATTATTTCGATAATAAAATTATTATTAATTTTTAAATTATATTTAGCTATATCGAATTTATTTCTCTAGTAAATATTTATAATTATTATCGCTATAGTGAGATTATATAATATATAGACTAGATTTAAATTTATAACTTCGTTCTATAGATTTCGTAAATCTATTACTATTTAATTAATTGTCTAATTTATTAATTTAATATATTTAAGAAACTTCTATAGTATAATAAAAAGGCGTTCTTTATTACTTATTCTATAAATTTGATAAAGCTTATTCTATATAGATTTAAAAGTAATAAGATAAGCGATATAACTCTTCTAATTTCAATTAACGTTACCTCTAATTAATATAATAATTTATTTAATTAAAATAATCTATTATTTAATTAACTTTCTATTAAATCGTATAAATATTAATAATTCCTCTAATACTATTTCAAAAATATCTTATTTCTTAAGAAACTATTAATGATTCTAGACTTATAGATGATAGTTTAAATTCTTTAAAACTTTTATTTTAACATATAATTTACTAATAAATCTCTTATTTAGTTTCTTTAATAAGTTAATTATTAGTAAATTATCTAAATCGAATAAAAGATTCTTCTCCCTCTCTTTTTTCTTCTTTTTCTTTTCTTTTAAATAAAAAAGGCCCTTAATTAATAACGCTATCTATCTAGCGAATAAATAATCTTATTTCTTAATCTACTATAGCTTTACCCCCGAGTATTCTTCGATAAAATCTTTAAAATAACTATATTCTTTAATATTTAGAGAGACTATAGCGATAGTAGATAGATATAATAAAAGATTAAGATCTCGATTAATAGCTAATTAAGCTTATAATCTATTAATAATATAATAAGCTATATCTAATATAATTAGAGTTAGAGCTATATATAAATACTATATAAATAAATTATATATATAAATAAATAGAATATAAGAAAAGAACTTTATATAAGTGAGTATAGATCTAATATAAATACAAAAAGTCGCTTATTAAATCATTAAAAATTCGTCCTTTCAAGTTATTCGATTTCGACTTATGGTCTATAATAAATCGAATTGCTTCGGAGATTACATCTTAGCCTTCTAGGCGTGTTAATTCCACATATACGCCAAGTAAACTGATTACCCTGGCACACCATAGCTATGGCTATATGGCTGTTGCCTATGGCTATATGGCTGTTGCCTATGGCTATATGGCTGTTGCCAATGGCTATGTTACCCATGGCTATGTTACCCATGGCTATGTTTGCCCATGGCTATATGGCTGTAGCCCCCAGCCACATTGTGGCTAATGGCCATAAGCCGTGGCTAATGGCCATAAGCCGTCAAAACCAACAGGATCTGGGCGCAGCCGCTAGTAGCAGCTCTAGCCGTTTTCGGAAGGCGGCCGTGTAGTGGAGGACTCTACAACTGTTTCCTGGGAGCGCATTGATTGAACTTTAGGTGGCTCTATTGGGGGCCATTGGGGCCAGATCGGGCTCGGGTCGGGTGCCATTCCGAAGCAGATCTGGGGCATTGTTCAGGCAACCCTTCAGCCGGGGCGTTATCCGAGATCTTGGGCGCAGAAGTCTCTAGACTTTGCGTGCAGACCTCAGAAAGTGACTACAGGAGGCGATTCATTTCCTTTTCCACGACATGCTGACCCTCCTGAGCAGTCTCAACTCAAGGTAGTGAAACGTGTACAACGCTCACTTGAACATGAATCAGTAGAGGTCTGTGAGCACATACCTTAACTTCAACAAAAGATTCATGAGCATGTCACTTCGGTCAAAGCGTAACATTGCTTCCTCACACCCAGACCCTTTCACTGACACTTGATCATGTCTACCGGTCGCTAACTAAAGCCTACATTCTATGCTGCTGATGCTCTAGTTCCCATCCTTCATTTACTTTGGCATCTTTGCTGCTTCAACAGTTAGATATCAATGTCTGCTCCCGGGGGGTGAACCCGAAATCAACTGTGTCCGAGTTCTCGGACTTATCCAAGATAGAAGCATCTGCCTCCTACCACTTCAACCCCGAATGCGAGGCGAATACCCTTCTAATTAGACCCAAGTACATCACTTCCGATGATATGTGTGACGGTATCAATGACGATGTCACCCTCCTGTGAGTTCAGTCTCTATTCCACGTTTAAGTGCTCTTTGCTTTGGCGTCTCTCCATTTTTCAATATGGCACCACCATCGTCGAATCTGATGGGTCAACTTCTCCTTCGTTCTACGCTCTTGGTTGTACTACAATAAGGATTCTCTGACAGCATTCAATACCATGCTCTGGTTGTGCTCCTTCATAACTCGTCATGATTGCGTCCCACTTCCCAAGCATGCCTTCGCCATACGTACGTAATTGTGAAGGTTCCTGCGGTCATTATTGGGCCTCACCTCACTTCCGCGCGACCCCCTTGCAGACGCTTCTTACGTGCTCGCCAATTTCATGTTCAAAAAGCACTCGACTTCTTCTGGGCGCCATGCCAAGCGCGCAATGACAGCAGCTTCGTCAGGTTCTATGAGAATGTCGATGTCGTTGACTACGAAGAAACTCGCAAGCTTGTGTGTCATGTCCCCCGAACGTGATTATCATTCTCTAACACCGCTGCAGTTCATGGCCTGGACGGGTTGTCGAGACAAGCGGGGCTTGACCATTTGCCTTTTCGATATGAAATACCTTACTTCCAATCTGGGAAGTTTCAAGAAGTCCTGCGATTTCTCATCGATTGCACAACCAACACCGACAGGATTGCCTTCTGCGGTGACCCTCCGCGCAGTCGCCGTGTTTGAAGGCATGGTCAGATTTGTGTGGCCTCTTTGCTCTCGAATCCGCAAGAGACCGAGTCCAGAGGTACCAATCTTTCAAGCCACAGTCATTGCCGATATCTCGGCGGTGTCCCTGATGCAGATCTGGAGGATCAGAAGTTGGCTCCAGCTTTTTAGCAAGCTACTCGCGGATGCCTAACCCGAACTCTTAGATCGTGTAATCGTGAGTTGAATGGATCCGCTCCACAACCGGGTCTCTGCAACAAAGCACCAACACGAAAGCATCTAACCGACAATAACCAGGTCACTGGTGCTCCGTCATACCTCCCAAGGCTCTGGATATGGGCCAAAGACTGGATCGATCCTCTCACAGCTTCCAAACTCATGATGCCGACGGAAGATGAAGTGTTGCCAATATTGGCAACGTACATTGACGCTGCCAACATCCCTAAAAAGTACGAAGGAGAATATGGCTTCGAGCATGGCAGGCAGCCAGATTTAGACCCGGCAATCGATGAGATTATAGACTGGCTGGCGCCATGTAGCAGCTCTTTCCCTGCAGGATCGATGAAGCTGGTCTTCTCTTCCATTGGAATGAGGCTAGCGGCGGCGGCGGGCAGCATCGACGGTACTCAGAGGACTCTCCTGGCGGGAATCGTGCATCCAGACAGGTTGGTGACCACGCAATCAGATGATGCAGCTGGTGGTGCTAACAAAATGTAATAGCTTCGATCGACGTTGACCAGTGAGAACATCAGAATTCAGAATGCTCTGTCTCGAAAGACTGTCCACTAGGGCAGCAGACACCCTAGAATCTCTTGGAGCTTCAGACGGATAGAGATACGTCCAACTGGTTGCTTAGATTGTGGAGTGGACAGATGGGTCCCCGTCTTCAGCAGTAGCAGCATGCTTGTGCTTTATGGCTGGAGGCGCGATCAATCCATGTCATCGGACCCGTGTAATTGGAAAATTGTAACTAGAAAACTGTAATTAGAAAGCCTGAGCATAAAGCTTCACTTGAGGCAAGGACTAGTAGATTATATCCATTCGACATGCATAGACACTTTTACCAGTTCAACCATCCACCCGACCGCAAAGAACCCCCTGAAACTTCTCACGTCTACACAGGTCGCTTGGGCCAGCGACGGCCAGAGCACCGGGAGTTTTTCTTTGGAGTTAACGCTGTCTATTTGTCTTGTTGTTTGGGTAATCATACTATCATTACATAGATATGCGGCCAGGGGGAAGCATCGCTTTCGTCTAACCGTTGGAGTCCTGTCGATAATGCACGGCTCAGACGCCACCGAATGTCTCTTGTATGTACGCAAATAGTAGTTCAAAGACATTCTTCATTGTGCCTTAACGCTCTTGCCGTCTCTTACCCTGTCAGGCAGTATCGCCGCTCCCGTTCCCATTGCCATTGCCATTGCCATTGCCGGTACCCTTCCCTTTACCCTTCCTTTCCTTTCCTCTCCACCAGTTTTTCAACTTCCACCAGCCGCCCAATGCCTCTTGCGACGACGCTGACCTTCTCCTTCTCTCCCTCTCCTGGGTCTCCAAAATCGGCGTTGAATATCTCCTCTTCCTGTCCCTGTAGCTCCTGCCCGTGCCAGACCTTGCTAAGAGCGCCGTTGATTCATCTGGACTTTCGTCCATGGGATTTCCTCGAGATGGTAGTTTTGAAGAAGGGGTGGATCGTGCACTGCTCCTGAGGCGTGAGAAAGGTGACACTTCGGCAAGAGCATCGTCTTCCAGCTCTTCCCATATCTCTTCAGACTCTGTCATACCCTTTCTGCGCAGACGCGTGATGCTCAACAAGTCGTTATTCTTCATGGTAGGCGTGCGAGGATCATTAGAAGAGGAGATGCGGTGAGAGTTGCGGTGATTATTGAAGGGCGAATCATTGCCATTAGCTAGGTTTGCCTCTTCGTCCATCTGGGATTCTGGAGTGTTCCCCTCCGCTTCGGAGTCGCTGTCGTCATCGACGAAGCCCATGCCCGGAATGAGCGTGTTTTGAGAGACGGAGAGTCTAGTTGCCGGGTCATTGTTGAGGCGCCAGGAGAGAGCGAGAACGCCGATAAGGAGAATGACGGTGCCTAGGGCAATCTGCGGCCGTGTTAACGGTCTCATAATCCAAAGGAGAGAGGGCCTAGTAGCGATGGCCTACCAGAAGGGCGTGAAGGAAAGAAAGTCGTGATGATTGATCAAAGTAGATGAGGCCGTCTAAGATGGCAATGATATTGTACACGCAGAAAACAAAGGGGTATAATATGCTAGTGGAGCAAAGTTTCAGGCCGCGATGCAAGTAGTAAAGTTGAGTAAGGGCGAGAGCAAGTAAGCCGAGCAGAATCATCCAGGACTGCCATCGGTTGAACTCATTATGTCTGTCCACAATCGTACGGACAAGCAATTCGACTGCTGATTTGGCGACCAGTAGAGAGTGTGCAGACAGGATTCCGCTGACGGCGCCATAAGCCATGCCCTTGAAGAGGCGCATCCGTGGACTGTGGCTGGTCCAGGGATTCATGTATTTGAGAGCTTTCGCCCCAGCAATGATGGCTACCACTAGCATAGCTTGGCCGATCATCCACAGAATGAACTGCCGCCTTTCCAGAAGTGCAAGAAGTTGGTCGAGATTATGCGCAGGTTCTCCGATGGCTCCGAATATTGCAATCAGCACAGCTCCACCGCAGACCAAGACTGTGCCTCCGAAAGACCATCGTGTGAAAGGCTCTCCCAGAATGAGAGTAGCGCAGATAGAGTTGAACACCAAGCCAGACTATGAAGCCATAAGCAGTCATCCTAGGACTGGAGAGATTTCGTCAATCATACAGCTTGCAATGTTGATAAAACCGGAAGAGGTAGGGTGGTGATCTGAATTGTGCTTCCGGCAATGTTCGAAACTATGAACATGAGCATACCAAGCTTGAAAAGAAGAGTCAGCCAGAAGCCCCACGCTGAGAGGTATGCTGCCTCCACGAACCTGCCATCTCCGTCGTCTGTGCGGCGGCCGACGGGGGTCATTGGGGTCTTTCTCATCCTCTAATATGTGCGACTTTCGTTGCAGTGTGAGGCCCAATGACTGGACAGAAGTGGAGATGAGTCCAACGAAGATACCGATCTGAGAGATTCCTGTGATTAGTAGCTGTACCACGCCTGCCCCAACAAGCTATCCTTAAGACTTACTACAACGCTGCCTTGCGGCGAAAGGCCGCCAAGCTGACCCATACTACCGCATCGGAATGATGAGCGCAAGAAGTGTCCTTGTCTTCAATCGAGAAGGATCCGACGAGCAGACCTGCATGGTGGTCTTGAAGCGCAAAGTTGCGAGAGGAATCGTTTTGACGCGAGCTCCGACAGACAGCCGAGCTCTTTGGTACGGAAGATCGCCGCTACTCGTAATGTCCGCGTCTGTGCTCGAGAAAACACCGTGCACCACAGACAATCTACCAAAGTCATGTAATACACATCAAAGCTGTCTGGGTTTTGATGATGAAGATCTCTCTGTGCTTATGGCTACATGTGCAAAGGATTTTCTCTTGTGCTCTCAGTTGGGACTCATTCTCTCTCCACCATGTCTGCAAGCAAACTCAGCTATCGAAACCCCGAAACCCCGGCGCAGCCTGTGCTCGTTATCGCAATGGTTGAGAAAGCCTGATGACCAAAGTTCTGCGGGTACGAGGTGACCTGGTAGAAGAGGAGTGGTACTAGTAGGTTGATTGCTGATCAGAATGCTCAAGCTAGAAGATAGACCATAGTTGCTTTCGCAGGTACAAAGTGAATCATCCTCGCCCCATCTATTTGCAGTGGCCCTAGTGTGTGACGTGTAAGTGTCTCGCCCATGTCGAGGGCCGAAGCATGCATGCATGAGAAAACAAAGCAACCAAACACCTAACATGTTTGCGCCTAAACTCCTCCTGCCCCATCGTGTACTTGCGCCTGCTTTTCAGGCATGTCTTTTGGATTAGTACAGGCCGAGTGTCGATATTCCATGTTCCTCCCTAATTCCATTCATCGCAATCGTCTATCGCTCTAGCAGAACGCATCTCAGCATTCGCTCTCTAGGATGAGGAGTTCTGCTGCATCATACCCTGTGGAGGCATGGGATAGTGTCCTCCGACGCCTTGTTGCTGGTTCTGCATGTATTGCTGGTATGCCATTTGGTGTTGTTGTTCAGGTGTCATTCCGTAACTCGGTGGCATCCCGCCGCCTCGAGGCATGCTTGCCTGTGGAGCTGGGATTTGCGCGTGACTGACGTCTTCAGGAGAGTCGACGGTTGATTCGGCGTCAACGCCATTCTCGTTCCCCGGAGCGGGCTCGGGCGCATTGAGGCACGCCTAGAGATCGAGCGTTAGGACGAGTGTGTGTCATGATGGACAGATCAGGCAACATACCTGGATCAGGTTCTTGCCCTCGGGCTTTGTGACGAGAGGTTGTAGCTTGGGGGTTGTAAAGGTGTATACTAGTCCAGTCTCGGAGACGACGAGGAGCAGGACTTGGGTGCCGGTGAGGACCGAGAGCTCGTAGGCCTGGGGAGAGCGATGAGTTAGCACTGAGTTGGTAGCGTCTTGTTCTAAGAGACGGCGCGATGGCTGTTTGATGTTGCCAAGCATACCTTCTTCATGATACCGGCTTTGCGCTTCGAAAAAGTAATGTGCCGACGAGACTTATCCTGAATGAATTTGATGTCAATCTTCCTCCTCTCACGTCCAGGCTTGTCGTCGTCATCATCGTCGTCGTCGGCGGCGGTACTAACGCGAGGACGCTTGATGCCTCGAGGGTCGGCGCCATTCCCGTTGCCGGTCGCGTCGTCGTGACCGCCGGGGGAGGCATTGGGATCAGCAATGTCGGCCATTGCTGAAGTCGAGTTGAGAGAATGAAGGTAGAAATGAAGAGAGTAGTGGGTAAATGATTGAGTTCGACCCGATTCGGTATGGAAGTTGATATGTTTGGATTAGGGTTACTGCGTTGGGTTAGAGAGAGCGTGCTGTCGTCAAAAGCTCCTCATCGAGAAAGGGTCAAGTTTGGTTGTTGGATGGAGACGAGGACGGAAAGGGGAAAGGAAAGAAGGGAGACGCTTGCCTTAATCTCTGTATGACTAAGCGGGAAGATAGTGTGGATACTTTTTAGTGGGAGTCCCGAGTCATGGGTTTCTTCTCTATTGGAATGTTGTGTTTCAGCCCGAATTTGGCAGAGAGGGAGGGTGTGACAGATTTTTGACTTTTGGTTTTTTTTTTTTTTTTTTTTTTGGTTTTTTTTTCTTGTGGAAATATTGCTGATTTGGTGGATGAGGAAGGGGATGGATTGAGGGGGGGGGGTGGGTGCCAAGAGCAATAAACTTCAAAGTCAGGATCGAAGAAGGAAGGAATTCCCTTGGATGGGGAAAAGCAGTTTGTTTGAATATGCGCGTGGGATCGAAAATGGTAAGAGGAATACTTTAAAGGGTTGTGACTTGGGAGACAGGGTCTTGATAAAGGCAAGGGTCGGAGAACCTAAGGGTCGAAAGAGCGAGAAAAGAGGCTGAACTACTGCACTATTATTCTTGGCTTCTTGGCTACTTGGCTTCTTGGCAACAAGGTGGGGGTTGTGGGAAAAGCTTGGCATGCACATCCACCCAAAATCCCCAAGTGGAAATGTTCGGTCAATAGTACCTCTCGGAATCTAGATCCTTCCGAAAGCACTTTTGGCCATTGCTGGGAGAGCATAATGCTGTCTGGCTAATAAGTAGGAAGTAACATCAATCAGAGCTCATAGAGATTCAATCTCTTCCGAGTCTGCCTTTTCTGCCTTTCCTTTGCGCCGGAAAATACACTCTTGTCCTAGTCAGTGCAAGACTGCACTTTTCTTTCATTGATAATTCTAATCTTACATTGGTATGCATCGTACCGATCCTCCTAGCGGTTTTCCCGAAATGCCTGCCGAGTATTGAGAGTATTGAGAGGCTTACGCCAGAGCCTCAGACGAGCAGGATGCTTGTGTAGTTGTGTCTTACTCCGGGAAACCCGCATTGGAGTAACCTAACGCAAGCTCATGACCCCAGCACACACAAATACATATTTAGACGGAGCGGTCTTCCGCTCGAGCCCACAATTCCGCCTGGCTCCATGAGAACAGCACTGTTTCCCCAGCTGGTCAACGCGAATAAGTTAGCCCTGACTGTGAATGTGGACACTTTCTATTCGCTTACAAGGATTAAAAGACATGTTTTCCCAGCTGGTCAGCGTGAATGAGTTAGCCCTGACTGTGAATGTGGACACTTTCTATTCGCTTATAAGGATTAAAAGACATATGACAACCCCTTCAGTTGTCTGCAAGGCTTTCTAGACGATTCTCCAGACGCTTTGAAGAACATGTGTTTTTTAATGACGGCTTTCTTGGTACAACAGCCAGCATACCGGTACCCTTCACATCGATCAAGAATCAAGAAGACTCACGAGGCGAAACAAAGCTTGGGTGTTGGAAAAGATGGAGCAAGAGTCCAGTCCAGTCTTTCACGGAGAGACTTAACTGCTGTCAACACCCTGATCAGACCGTATGACCGGATTTTGATGGACCTCGACCGACATACCCGAGCAACGGCCTACTTCAGCTTGCGTCGGGCGTAGGTATACCGTACATCGAGTAGACATTGATTTAGGAAGCTAAGTCTCTTAAGGCCCGCCATCGACACCGACAACCTCATCACCGGATTGCTCCCACCAATTCCCGCTGCATCGGGGTCGGTAGACGTATTACGTCACCAAAAGAAACCCTGGCTGGCGCCAGTCGCCCCTTCAGTGGATCCACATTACCGGTTGGTGATATCAAAAAACCCTGCCCAGAGTACATGACAGCAGCGAGGGAAGAAATACAAATCCCCAAGTGCGTAGTCTGAATCTGTCTAGGGTGCCCAAAAATGCGACAACCTAGGCTTCGTGTCATGTACGAAGGCTCTTTACCTCGAAACCAAATGCATTGATCGCCCGGCACCGTCTTCGGAAATACAACTGAGGACGAACTCATGATGCGCGAGAACAGAGGCCGAGATTGAGGAGTCAATCGCGCTGAAAGCAAGGAATGCCTATCTGTGCTGCATGTTTCCACCAAAAAGGATCCGATTTCCTTGGGAAGAACCACGTTTCTTCGGGCCCATCAGGTTTCTTGTCGCCGAACATCGAGAGCTTCCGGCAACTCCCCTAAACGTCGACAAGGGGATTTAACAATGACATGGAGCCACCTTCCGTTATGGGTAAGGGCGTTGATTGTCCAGCTTGTTGACGAGAAGAGTCTTCAAGCATCGTGCAATTCCAGCAATGATGGGGTTTGGAGATTTGACAAGGACGTTCAGGTGAAGACAAGTTCTCACTAATCTTGGTCTACGGCTTTATCAACCTTCGCCTTAATGTTTCTGTCTTTAGTAGAATCCAGAAACGCGTGTATACCATTCTAATGGGAAAGAGCTTTGCTACCTGCGCGTTTATCTTGAGCTTGGTGCGACGGGAGTGGCTCGATGTGGATTGCGCTTGAGGGTCTGTTGTAAGAGTCTTGACTTGACCAAGTAGCTTTGGGGTGGTGAAGAGGGAATTTTGCTGTCAGCAAGCGCGAACAGTGGGCTGGGAGGATGGCAAGCAGCGAGATCCAGCTATTCAAGACATCATCGGTAAGTTTAGCGTTCTATCACGATGGGCTTTGAACAATGGTAACGTTGAAATTTTTGTCTTCTCATGAAGCGATGCAGAACTTGTTCATTAGAGCTGCAAAGAGCGGCTTGTCGAAGATTGAGTGTGCGCTCGTCTCCGATTTAGTTCTTAGCTAGAGGAAACCGGCACGGCATACATTCCCCACCTTTTGTCGATTGTGCCTGCTCAGAGATACCCTCGGCCTTTAGGCTCTAGCCAGCCTTCAAATACGCTGTAACTTTCCAAGAAACGCGAAAGCGGAAAGGCGCAACCACCACAGCTAACTCTGAAACACTTTGCCCTCGCTTTATCTCCATAGCCTCAGACCGAATGGCCGACGACAAATGGGGCTTACAGTTCGGCAGA